TCTTCTTTTTTGTGTGGTTGTGGATGCCTTTTAGCACTGCTTTCTTTGCTTTCAGAGCCTTTGCCTTGGCTTCAGCTTTGGGAGGGGCAGGGGCTTCCTTCTTAGCTTTCGGCGCCATCTTCATGAAAAGGGTCTGAAGACTTGGGCTTTATCAATAAGGGATCAGCAGTTGCTACCTTATGTGACTTACTGCATGGCTTTCTCATGGGGAAAATGGTTGGTTACTTTATTTGTAGTTTGTTTGAAGCTGTCATACTGAGCTTGCTATATCACCTATCCTTAAAGGGTTATCACAATAGGTATGGTTTTTCCCTTTGTGTTTTGTTGACCTTGTTTTCACAACCATGCAATTCTACATTTTTCAAGACAAGGTGAACCTAAACTTCTGTGAAGCAGCAGTTCTGTGGCACTAAAAGTCCTTCAGTGTTACTAGTTGATCTTTTTAAACACATTTTTCTTCCAAGAACTATTATGTTTGACTCCCATTTGTGTTCATGGGGTCATTTCACAGATTCAAAACTGCACTTTGTGTCTTATGTTGATTTAATTACATATTATTGATTATGCTGTACAGCTGTCTTAATTTTATCCCTTTTGCCCCCATCTTTACTGAGCGCCGCCCCCCCAGGCAAATCCCCCCCCACCATTGTTCATGTCCATGGGTCATGTAAGTTTTTTTGGTAACTCCACTTCCTATACTGTACTTTACAGTTCCATGGCTGTTCTTTAACTACCTATTTGTACTTCTTAATTCCTGCACCTCTTTACCCACTCTCCCACAACCTCTCCCATCTGGCAACCATCAGAATGCTCTCTGTATCCATGATTCTGTGTCTGTTGTTCATGTTTGCTTAGTTTGTTTTTTAGATTCCATTGTTGAAAGATAGGTGTTTGTTGCCATTTTGCTGTTCATAGTTTTGATCTTCTTTTTCTTAAATAAGTTGTGTTAACATTTCATTTAATAATCATTTGGCGGTGATGAACTCTGTTTAGTTTTTTTTTGTCTGTAAGTTCTGTCTGCCCTTTGCTTCTAAGTGACAGCTTTGCTGGGTAGAACAGTGTTGGCTGTAGGTCCTATTAACTTCTTTTGCTGCTTTTAAGATTATCTCTTTATTTTTAACCTTTGACATTTTAATTGTGGTATGTCATGCAGTGGGTCTCGTTGCATCCTTCTTGTTTGGGACTCTCTGTGTGTCCTGGACTTGCATGTCCATTTCCTTCACCAAATTAGGCAAGTTTTCTTTCATTATTTTTTCATATAATTTCCAGTTTCTTGCTCTTTCTCTTTTCCTTCTGGCACTCCTATTATGCCAATGTTGGACTTCTTAGGGTTGACCCAGAGCCTGCTTACACTGTCAGTTTTTCTTTTTTCTTGTTCTGATTGGGATTTTTGCTTCCTTATGTTCCAAATCATTGATTTGATTCTCAGCTTTATCCATTCTACTGTTGTTTCCCTGAAAATTGTTCTTTATGTCAGCTGTCCTTTGGTGTATCAATAGTGTATCCTTTATTTCTGGCCGGATCTTTTTTACGCTGCTGAGGTCCTCACTAAGTTCCTTGATCATACTTTCAACTGGTGTTTTGAACTCTGCCTCTGAGAGATTGCTTATCTCCATTTCATTTGGCACTTTTTCTGGAGTTTTGATCTGTTATTTCATTCGGGCCATGTTTCTTTGTCTCCTCATTTTGACAGTCTCCCAGTGTTTGTTTCTGTGTATTAGGTAGAGCTGCCTTGACTGCAGGTCTTGGTGGCATGGCCTAATGTAGTAGGTGTCCTGTAGGGTCCAATGGCACAACGTTCCCTATCGCCCAAGCTGGGTACTTGAGGTGCACCTTTTGTGTGGGCCGAGTACACCCTCCTCTTAGAGTTGAGCCTTGATTGCTTTTGGCAGATCAGTGGGAGAGATTTGCCCAGGCAAGTGAGCTGCAAGGATTGGCTGTGACCACTTACCACAAACCTTTGCCCACTGTGGAATATCAGCTGTGCAGTGGAAGGGTGCATGCGCTCCAAAGTGGTCTGTAGCTGTCCACTGGGTGCGCTGGCCCTGGCATTTCCCAGATGGTGCAGGCCAAGGTCAGCCTCCACCTGTGTTATGCTTGGGGCCACTGTGCCTGAGCCATAAAGCAAACTGAGAATGCTGCTACTTGTGCAGGGCTTGGAGATTCCCAGGTGAAACCAAGTTGTGAATCTAGGCTGGCTGCTGCTAGTGCCAGGCCTGGGGCTCACATAGGCAAGCTGTTGCTTGTTTGAGAGGATTTAGGAGCCAAGACCTGCCACTCATATGGAAAAGCAGCTTGGATGGGTCCATATGTTGGGTGGGGCAGAGTCTCTGGGGATCTCCAAGTGGGTCAAATAGTGTTAGCTAGGTTGATGGAGTCTCAGACATGACACCAGCCTACTGGCTTTGGGGAGCAAAGGTTCAGAAAAGGGACAGTGGCCTCTGCTCACCTTGATGCCAGGCACTTTAGTTTGTCCCTGTATGACACTTGTGCCTCTCAAGTTGCTATCCCAGCCTGGAGCTCAGAGGGTGTGAATCTGAGTAGGTGAGCCCCTATGTGTGGGTTATTTAAGAGGAACTACTTGGGACTCCAGAATTTGCTGGAACTGGCACTGGAATCCTGGGCTGGTGGGCCTGGTGTGGGCCCTGAGTATTTTGCTCCGGAGATAACCATCACATGTGGATGACAGACCAGTCCATTCTCTGTCTGCGCCCCTCCTGCCAGTCTGGATGGATGTAGTTTCTTTAATTTTGTAATCATCAGACTTCCATTCAACTCGATTTCTGATCATCCTGAGTGATCTATATTTTAGTTGTGATTTTGATGTGGTTGTGCAAAGAGACGAGCCATGTCTGCCTTACATTGCTGTCTTGACAGGAAACCCTGTACCTCATTTTCATAGTGGTCTTTTACCTGAGTCAGGTTAAATAGTATGGTTCAAAAGGGAATTCCAGTGCCACGAAATATAGTGAATCTGGAATGGCTAGCTCACTGGTTTGGAGACTGGTGCAAGCGAGAGTGAGTGTGTTGGGGGAGATAGGTTAGATTAGATTTCTCAGGCCAGCAGGGTTGAGGCATGAGTTGTTTCATGGCCCAAAATACAGAGAACTCACTCACTTTCATTTACTTCTAGAAATTGCTTTTACAGTAACATCTTGCACAAAGGAGAGTAATTTCTGAACACTTGATATTTTAGTTTCTGAATCATTATACTTAGAAGAAATTTAGGCCAAAAGAGTAAAAGTTCTGTGTAAAATAGTAGTGCTAATTTGTGTTAATTCCCGTAAGTGGATTAAAACTGACAAATTAACAGCTCAGTTAACAGTTATCTACTGAGGAGAAATCAAGTGCCAAGGGCTTCCGCTTTTGAATCATAAGTTATCTTTCTCTCTGGGCTCAATCTTAAAAATATTCCTTATTGGAGCTTAAAACAACATTTGAAGGTTTTATTAACTTAGCATATCATTGATTCTTTGGCATATGGCAAATCAATTGCTACTGGGTTTCAAGGGGAAAGTGGTAGGTTGGTCAGTGCCTAAAAACTGCTTAAAAAATGAAGGTTAGTAAATTATTTTGTCACTTGTTTTGCAATGCTCTTTCTTAATTTAAGAAAATGTTCCTGTCACAACCACTCCTGAAAAAGATAAAATATGATCTTGTTAGAACAGGATGGAAACATTTTAGATTGGGTTGAGGAGAAGACAGAATTATCTCATCTGCCTGTAAAAATTTCAAAACTGTTGAATATATCATATTTGTTCCTTAAAACCTTTGGTGTTAGGTAGAGAGCAGTTGGCAGATTGTTTTTTATAGAATAACTGGGCTTTGGAATTTAATTAGTTACTAGAAAAGTGCAGAACTAGAGTAAGCTTCCCCCGCCCCCCTTAACTGGTGTGTCTTACCTTGTTCTTCGTCTTTTAAATACTTTATTTATTTTTAGAGAGGGGGAGAGAGGGAGAAAGAGAGGGAGAGAAACATCAATGTGTGGTTGCATCTCGCACACCTACAAGCCAGGCATGTGTCCTGACTGGGAATCAGTCCGGCAACGCTTTGATTTGCAGACTGGTGCTCAATCCACTGAGCAACACCAGCCAGGGTGTCTTACCTTCTTACACTACCACAGACTTTTGCATAAATAACATGGAATGTAGAGACTTTCTAGAACTGGTGTCCTTGTAAGAAGTTTTTGGTTGTATTTTTAAGTTTCTCTTTACCAAATATATCAAGCTGTAACTTGGGTATATCTTTAGCAATTGCTGGGATTCTTACTAATGGAAGCAGCAGGTCAGTAATCAGTGATGCATTTTTTTATTTTTTTATTTTTTTTTAAGCTAAATGTGTGCTGGGTAATGGATTTAGGTATTAGTGAATAATGAACATGATAGGCAATATTCATTGCCCTTTTGGAGCGCTGAGTAGAACTTAAGCTTAAATGTTATTAGACATGGTAGTGGTATTTTATGACTAGCTAACACACACGAGATGGCTGTTTTAGAGACCAAAAATTGTTAATATTGGCAAGTTTATATGGTTTAACCTAATAATCACTAGCAGTGATGATTTTTATATGCTTTTGTAGTGCAAAGATCAGGACTTTAGCTAATATTACCTCTATTCACAGACTCAGTTAATTGCAATCCTTTTTTGTGAGTAACTTCTTTTGGCTTATGTGAATTGTTTATTGTAGCATATATATAAAAAGAATAAGGTCAAGATAAAGGCCATTCACTGTAAAACAAAAAAATGCTTTGTTAATTACTACGGCAGAACCTTTTTTGTCCACTGCATAAGGCCAACCAGCCACATCTTTTGATGTATTGGTATATATGTAGTATTTTCTTGAAGAAAAGTAGCTGAGATACTAAAAATATCAAAGGAAAATTTTATTGGCCTTTCAAATGAAATTAGCAAAAAAAATAATTGAAAGATAATAGGTATTAATTTATTATTTTATAATGTCACTGCTGTTTGGATCTTGCTGACTTAATTTAGTTGTGAAGGAATTCTGTTTTCTTCTTATCTAATAGGATGTACAGTTACCCAGCACGTGTTCCTCCTCCTCCTCCTATTGCTCGGGCTGTAGTGCCGTCGAAACGCCAGCGTGTATCAGGAAACACCTCACGGCGAGGCAAAAGTGGCTTCAATTCTAAGAGTGGACAGCGAGGATCTTCTTCCAAGTCTGGAAAGTGTATGTGTTATTATTGCACCTTTGTGATGTTTATTCTGTGTTGAAATAGGGAAATTAATGCAGTTAATACGCAGTTTTTGTGCAAATGCCTTTGTATAATCACAATAATAAAAGAGAAGATAGTGATTAAGGGACCAACTCTAGACTGTATTCTATCTCTTAAGACCCTGGTAATTTGAACGAAGTTACTAGACTTTAGGGAATTGAGGCACCTGTTAAATTTGAAATATATATTAGTAAAACTGTACTAAGAATGTATTTTAAAAGGGAATTGAGGTCGTAGGCCTACAAAAGTCAATGCAGCTGGTAATGGAATAAACTGGTAATGGAATAAGCACATTAGATTCCATTCTCCTTTACCAACTAAAAGAGCAAAGGTCTGCATTGCTGAAACAGTCTGATATCAGTGCTCTTTCTCCCCAGGGGTCTCCTGTTGACTACTGATGTCTAGTGGGAATGTGTTTGATTACTGGTAGCTTCTGGTGCACTTGATTCTCATCTAAGGTTTTGTTTCTATTGAAAGTGAAAGGTGATGATCTTCAGGCCATTAAGAAGGAATTGACCCAGATAAAACAAAAAGTGGATTCTCTACTGGAAAGCCTGGAAAAAATTGAAAAGGAACAGAGCAAACAAGGAGGTAAATGATGCTGCTGCTTTTGGGGTGTAGAGTTGGGTTCGTTTACCTAATAGAGTTGAAAGTATATGTTGGAATAGTGGAATGCAAAGCACTTGAATATGAAACCTGGGGAGTTTGAACTGGGAAGGGCATTTGTGTGGGAGGATTTAGACTTGTGCTGCAGTTCTGTGATTATTAGTGGGGATTGTCTGCATCCTGGGGACATCGCTTGGCCCTAGACAGACTTGTCCTTCTCATCCGCAGTAGAGATGAAGAATGATAAGTCAGAAGAGGAGCAGAGCAGCAGCTCCCTGAAGAAAGATGAGACTAATGTGAAGATGGAGTCTGAGGGGGGTGCAGATGACTCTGCTGAGGAGGGGGACCTACTGGATGATGATGATAATGAAGATCGGGGGGATGACCAGGTGAAAACCCCGGGAAAGGAAAGAAAGAGGTGGTGGAGGGGGGATCAGGGACACATGGAGTGCCTCTAACTCCATCCTATTTGTGTCTGTTTCTCACAGCTGGAGTTGATCAAGGATGATGAAAAAGAGGCTGAGGAAGGAGAGGATGACAGAGACAGCGCCAATGGCGAGGATGACTCTTAAGCACATAGTGGGGTTTAGAAATCTTGTCCCATTATTTCTTTACCTAGGCGCTTGTCTAAGATCAAAATTTTCACCAGATCCTCTCCCCTAGTATCTTCAGCACATGCTCACTGTTCTCCCCATCCTTGTTCCTCCCATGTTCATTAATTCATACTGCCCTGCGCCTAGTCCCATTTTCACTTCCTTTGACGCTCCTAGTAGTTAAGTCTTACCCTGTAATTTTTGCTTTTAATTTTGATACCTCTTTACGACTTAACAATAAAAAGGATGTATGGTTTTTATCAACTGTCTCCAAAATAATCTCTTGTTATGCAGGGAGTACAGTTCTTTTCATTCATATATGAGTTCAGTAGTTGCTTCCCTAACTGCAAAGGCAATCTCATTAGTTGAGTAGCACCTGAGAGCAGCTTTGAGTTAGAGGTGTATGTGTTAACCCCGCATATGTAGTGTGTGTGGGGCTGTTGAACACAAATGTAACAATGTATTTTTGTGAATGAGAGTTGGCATGTCAAATGCATCCTCTAGGAAAATAATTAGTGTAATAGTCTTAAGATTTGTTTTCTAAAGTTAATACTGTGGGTTATTTTTGTGAACAGCCTGATGTTTGGGACCTTTTTTCCTCACAATAAACACGTCCTTATTAAACCAGGAATTTGGAGAGAAAAAAAACCCTGGTTTTTTATTTTTGTATTTTATAATTGTTTATTTCAAATTCTTTGTTTTACAGTGGCCTCCACAAAACCCCTAGAGTGTATATTTTTCTTTGAGTCAATAGTCATTATTATGCATACCAACACACACTACTCAAATGATATTTCATTGGGGTGGGTGTTATATTAGAGACAAGTAACTTTAATGTGGAGTGGAAAGTCTTGCAAAATTGCCTTTATAACCTAATGAAAAGAAATTGGGGAATACATTAAGCCTTTTCATCAATGCTTTGTGGTCCAGTTGGTGCCCTTTTTTGAGATTTTTGTTGTGTGCTAAATTGTTTCATCTTTAAATAGAAGAGGTTCAAACATGTCAAGATTTTAGGGAAATTGAAATAACTGGAGAATAAAACTTATTTTCTTCCATTTTGTCCTTTTAATTGCTACTTACAAGCCCTATTTATTGTCTGGGTTCTGAGTCTTTGCCTCAGTTTTACTGAAAATAGAAAAGCTCTTTCCCAGGTAACTATAGTGAGGGTTACACATTTATTTTATCTACAATTAGTTCAACCCATATGAACTAATTCTTTGTGCCCCTCCCAATTAATTGCAGTGATTTTATATTAACAGGTAACAAAGCAGACTAGAAAGAGGCTGAACTGTGGACTGCCCTTAAGTCTGAGATCCACAATAGTAGCTTGTGTGTTGATTCAGACAAAAATACTTTCACCCACCTTGTTTTCTAAATGTGTGATTTCATATGCTACACAAGCTCACTTTTGGCACAAAACTTAGGAGAAAATAAACTGGAAGCTTAGAAGGGGTCAGGGTTTTAAAGCACTAATAAAGCCTATAAAAATTATAATGTTTTCCATCAGTATTTAAAAGATTCCAGTCCAATTAGTCTAGGCATGAAAGTGTCCAATTTTAATTCCATCTGCAATCAAATACCGGAAGAAACTAAAGAAAGGCTCTTTTAATAGCTAGAGAAATGGTCATATACTCTTAGAAAATCTGCACTTGTGAGTGACACACAAGATTATTGAAAAAGTACCAAGATGGCTCTAGGTTGTCCTTGATAGGAAGAATCATTTTACACTGTAGATCTTAGGCTATTATGAATTAAATGTCTTCATAGTTGAAAAGAGGATTCCCAGTATATTTTAGTTCAGACCTTATCCTAACATCTGAGGCCTGCAAAGATTATGAGTGCCAGTCAGTGCAGGATGTAAAGCCTCTTAGAGAAGGAACTAGGTGTAACAGAAAAGAAAAATACTGCAAACGGGAAAAACAAGATTATGGTAAATTGGAAGGTAATAACAGAGGCAAATGAGGATTGAGAGTATAATGGAAAGTGTAAAAGAAAAACCGCTATCATTTGAGCCATACAGTAACCATAAATTATTGAAGGAATTTATTGGACAATTTGGCAGCAAAGTCCAGGAGTATGACAAGGAAAGTAAAACAAAAGATGACAAAACTATACAAGTAACTCGTGTTTCGGTAATGCGGATGAAATTATGGGGTGCATTATAGAAATACCTGGGGAACAGGGAATAGCTATATATTAATGAGATCGTTTCTGAAACTATGTGGCTGCCCTGTGATCCACTAATCTTGAGAAAACCACAACATGTCATAATTAACTGTGACCTGGGAAAATGAGGGACTTAGCCACATAAACATTCCTCCTGACACCTGACCTTTTTTAATATGAGGGAAATTAAACTACACCAGCAATTTTCAACCTTTTCCATCTCATTGCACACATAAACTAATTATTAAAACACTATGGCACACCAAAGAATATGTATTTTTTACCAATCTGACCCAAAAAATATGTATAATTTTGAGCATTTGCACCAGATGGCTATTGCTGTGTTTGCTGTTGTCATTTTATTTGACAATCTAAGGGAAAATGTCAGGACCCCCTGAGTATTTAAATAGGCATTATATGTTTTAAAAATTCTTGCATCACACCAGTTGAAAAAGGCTGAACAACGCCAATGTAAAATGGGGTTTGGATTTTAGTTGAGATCACTGTGACCAAGAAAATGAGTTTCAGTTGAATTTAGTCATATTAAAGAAAAGGCACCCTGTTAACTTGAAACCATTTAACAGTAAAACACTGATGACAAAAGTGAGAGTGACCAATAAGTTACATGTAATGTACAGCGTATGGACTACTAACTGCCTTTGAAAGTACCTCAGTTTATCAATGCTGTACCTTACAGAGAACAGGCATCATTTATACTGTGGTGTTTGACTAATAAAAGGGGCACTATGTTGGAGAATTTTTAGTGTTTAGAAAGAGTGGTGTAAGTTAAAGAGTCAATTAAACTATATAGAAAAAGCTGGATATAGATTGATACCTGACTGGGATGAGAGAATTCCAGATGTATAAAGAAGAGAATTTAGGGGTGTTAGGAAATTACACCCCTATAAATTTGGATTTTTGTTAATAATCTTAATGAAGTAAACTGGGGAGAAGGCCTGAAAATAGTATGTATAAGTAACGTGAGAGTTAACAAAAAAAAAACAACCCAAAAAACCAACCATTTATGAAAAGCAGGATCTGTTTTATAAAGTGTTAAGAGTTAGTTCTCTTGTGAGCTAGAGTGAGACACTTCCCCACTGCCTAAATTAGAAGTACAAAACAACATAGGGAGAGAGAAGGGGTAGTGTAATGGGGTAGATACCAAAAAAACAAACCCAACCCCACAAGGTAGTTAATTGGAAGGAGGTGTAGTCTGAGACTAATGAGGTTAGGGAGGCATGGTTTTCTCTGTTCCAGTCCTGAGCATGCCAGGTTATTTTTTTCAAGGTCACACAGGAATACAAGAGCTTGAGGGAAATAAGCTGCTCTGAAAGTCTGACAGAAATTTACTTATGTAAATATAATTCTTACACGCCATTCATGAACCTAAAAAAGCTGTAATTAGAATGATTATTAGTATTGTAACAAAATAATTGTTGAGTGGTTCTCAGTCTTGGTTGTGCATTGAAATTATCAAGGGAGCTTTAAAACCCTGATTCCCGAAGGTGTGTACACCAGACATTAAGTCTTGGCCATTGGGACTCTGGCATTAATTATTTTTCAATCGCTGTAATTTCAGTTTGCTCCCAACATGAGAAACGACTGCAACGAGGCAAAAAGTGCCCTTTCTGTGGCAAATAAGATCGAAGGGAAGAATTCAGAAAAGATAGGGCTTTCAGAGAGCTTGTCTCTGGGTGATCAATAAGAAAGTTTTAAAAAAAATGCCCATGTAATACATTGAGTGGGTTAAGTCAAGTGCAGTAAGAAGAAGAAAAAAAAAGGCATAGTGAGGGGGGTGTGTGTGTGTAAAATACATTTTTTAAGCATCGCTTCAAAGAGTGAGAGGTACCTGCACTGAAATCTAGGGCCAAAGTAGAGAAGGCACCTAGGGAGGCATTTAGGAAGGAGCAAAGGTGAGAAAGAAGCTAGGGTTGAGGGAGAGACAAAATCCCTACTTCCTGAGGTTGCAGGAAAACGCGTTAAAGCCCAGTTTGGCCCACCACTCAAAACTACTGCACTTCCCAGTGGAATTTTCTGTGATGATGGAAATGTACCATAGTGCATTAACCAGTGTAAGTTACCTTGTGGCTGGTGTGACTGAGGAGTTGGATTTAAAATTGTGTAAGCATGCACAGAGACATAACTAATTCAAAATTATATGAACAAACGTGACTGTTTCCAAGGTAATTTTATGTGCTGAGTTCATTGAAAATAACATTTCTAGGACCTAGACTTTAACTGAAGATTTTACTAGTGTGAGAACATCTACAGTTGCAGGTCTAGCCCCTGATCATCACACCTTCATAACAATATAAGTGGGAACCCATCTTGTCAGATGGGTGCCTGAAACCCAAGGCAGATACTGCTGCTTACAGAAGGTTTGTGTATGCATCCAGCGTGATGCTGGGTGAGCGTTTAACATCATACATACAGTCTTGAGTCTCATGGTCCTATTACAGATATGTGGAAGTAGTAACTCCTGTGTCTGAAAAGAGTTTCAGAGATTATTTAAAGCCCCATAGTTATTAAATGGTAGCGCCAACATTTCAACTTACGGTCTGACTTAAGAGTTTTGGACCTCAGAAGGAAATGGTGTCTTTGAACCCACATCCTGAATCCTAGAAAAATGATGGTAAGATTCTAGGATCCCAGCACCTTCTCAAACATAAAAAGATTATCAACATTTTTCTCTCTATGATGTACTGGAGTGGTTCATAGACCTAACAGCTGCAAAAACACATTATTGAAAATTGCCTGGCTGAGAACTGAAATGCTATTTTACGCAACATCGTTGGGTTTTAGAAACGTAGCAATTCAGAAGAGAGTTTAATCTCTTTCGTCCATTTTCCTTAGCTCTTCCTGGGGCACCCAGAACTCCTATTTGAAACCATTTCTTCTACATAAAACAACATAAGCTTTCCAAATATCTTGTAAAAACCTCTCTTTTTGGGGACAGTTATCTGATCACACAACTTCAGCTTTGTGCTTTGATGCCTGCATGGCCATTTGAAGCACCTGGCAGTGTCACTGCAAGAAAGTCCTAAAAAACATTGGTCTTTATACCACAAGGATTGATTAATGGGAAAGGTGTTGAGTGTCACAATTGGCTCAGCATGCCAAAATAATGAATTTCTGGTATGAATTTGGACATAATGGGGTGGGGCGGGGGGAAGGATGTGAGCCTGAAAACCTACCTGTTCAATGACTCAGAAACTCCGACCCATTTCCACCTTTTTTGGTCCTTGGTTAACAGCTTTGCTTGTTCCGAAGAGGATACTTGCTCCAGAGAGATGTGAGATGCTTCAAAGCCCCTCTTGGTCCTGCACGGGGAAATTACCCAACCAGAGCATTTGTGACCGGTTCAGGGGGTCTGCTAAGTAACCAGCCAGAGCCAACTACCAGCTCAACCTCACCCACAGTATTTCCCTACTTGAAACCTGTTAATATTTTTGCTACTTTCCTCACCCAGCCCAACCTCCTTT